ACAAGAGAGACCTCTTAATTAGAAAAGATGATAGTTCATCAAACATCATGGCCATTCAATCTAAACTAATTTATACAACTAATAAATGCTTTTCATTTTATAAGATATAACTTGCAAAGGGAACCTCCCCAAAGTTAGGGTTGGGGCATGGTTTTGTTTTGTGTGTGTGGGTGTGTGTGTGGGTGAAGTCAGCCAACTAAGAAATCTGAAGACCACTAAACAAATAAGGCATATGAAGAAAATGAGAAATCATCCAGAGAAAATGTCCCAAGAAAAAATAAATTGGACTATTGGTATATCACATTTTCAACAGGGTAAAATTTCATAAATCTTCCCAAATGTTTGTTTCTGTTGTTCTGTACAGATACTAAATGCAAATGGTCTTTCTGTAGTCCTAGTTTAATTAAAATTTAAAGCTGTCTTTCGAGTTGGAGCATGGATCTCTCCTTCTCTAAACCCAAGTATGCTTGTAAAAGGAAAATCCAAAATCTCTGTAACATGTCAGAAGAGCCACCTGGTATGGGATAGAAGAAAAGTCAAAACTAAGGGAATATTCTACTGCCATTGATCTCATAATCCTTTGGTTTTATTTTGTCTCTTTAAAGCGTTTCTTAAGGTATAAATATTATTTCAACATTCATATATATTTTATATGTATATACATATATATTTATACTTTTCATCATATATAATACTAATTCTAGAAAAAGTCTTCATCTACCTTCCTATACATGATTTTGGGTTTGAGTCTTTATCGGGTAACTAGGAATTATGGTTCTTTAACCTTTGAGCTCTGCTGAATATGACATTTAAAATGTTTAAGTTTACTGCAGTGAACCATGATCATGCCTAATAGTCACCTTTGAAGTCTCCAAAAGGAGGATGGGGTCCCACGATGAGGATTCCACCAGGATTATGATAACACCACTAAGCTGACAAACACCATGCAAAGATCAGCTTTGAACTAAAAACTGCTCAGGAAAATTTCAAGGTGATTAGCTGAGATGGTCTAGCCTCACAGACTACTTAGAGCATGGACTTGAGATAAGTCCTGCATTTTCCCATTATGAAGAGACTTGATAAGAAATGGTACAGCTAGCTCTCCCAGGAGTTGATAATTATCTCAGTTTTTTTCAGGGTTGCCTAAAGGTGCTGACTTACCCCAAACAACAAGTAGTACATTTAAGAACATGAGGCCCACATTCCCAAGAGGTGAGATGGGTGGTTTTTGGTCATTCAATGGGTTATGGATATTTGTCATTGTTTAGGGGTGTTGGTTACAAGTTGTTATTGGTAATGGTCAGGAAAAAAGCTGAACAAAGGAGATTAGATTCAGGGATTTTGTTCTAAAAAGAAAAGGGGGGATATTTAAATGATAGAAAAGGTAGATTATTGAATCTACTTTTAAACCAAAAATGGAACTACTAGTCTTAAATATTTTACATTGATATGGATTGTTAGGATATACTGTATATATGTTTCTATTGTTGTTCAAGGTATTGTACCTATACAGCTCATCTAACAATGTTAAATAAATTTCTAGTTCTTGAAAGTTATTACAAACTATTTAGGATAATAAAGAAATACAGGGCCATTGTTAGTCACCTATTACAATCAAACTTGTAGTCATGTTAGGTATGTTTTCAAGGTCAAGAAGATATATTTTAGATAGGCAAGTGGTCTTCAAACACTTAGAGATCTACAGAATATGGAATTTAAGATGTTTTAATAACATTAGTTTTTTATGATAATGAGACATGTCTGCTCCTAGCAGCACCAATCTACTTCAAAGACAATGGGCATCAAAGAATATCTTGCTTCACAGAAAAGTCTATCAGATATTCTAGGCTTGTAGAAGATGAATGTCCCAACATTGCAGAGGAACTTTGGGTGACTGTACAGGCAGCCAGCTGTTTCTGTCATTTCTCACATTGTTTGGAAGTTGCTTGCTTGCATTTCCTGTTTATTCAATTAATATTATTTCCTTTTTGTGTCTCTGATGGAGTTGAAGACTAGATAATTATAGTTTTCCTTGTTAAAAATTTCAGAAAAGAAACTCACAAGAGGTGTAAAGTGTATAAGGTTGAGAGACAACAAATGATTGTTTTGGGTTGATAATGCAAGTTAGAATAGAAGGTGAAATAGGTACAACTCTTTGGACTCACCAAGATAGAATAGATAATGGAGTATTTTCTTTGAATTTGTTAAATGCTAGGCATTGTTAATGTAATTATTGACTGTATATATTTATATATAGTTATTTTATTTTATACAGTTTTTTGTTAGTTAGAACCTTCGCTTTTTATTTATACAGAAAGAGAAATGTGTGATATGTGAGTTCTGTAAAATAAAGTTTGCCTGGAGATCAGAGGATGGAGCTAGCCAGTAGTTAACCAGAGGTCTGAAGCCTATACAGACAGTGGAAAGGAAGTGAGAAGGTAGGGCAGAGACAGGGTCTTGGCCCTTTTTGGTCTGAGGATCCAGAGAGATAAGAAGTCCCTGGTGGCTGTTGCTCTGCTTCTCTGATCTTTCAGCTTTTACCCCAATATTTGACTCTCGATTTTTTTTATTGATTAAGGTTAATTAGATTCATGCTTCACTTACTGGCTTGCTTCCCCTGGCTTGTTCAGTCTGCTTTCTTATAGAACATAGGTTCACCTGCCCAAGGATTGTATTACCTACAGAGGGCTAGAACCTCTGCCACTGATCACTAATTGAGAAAAAGTCTTATAGCTAGATCTCATGGAGATATTTCCGTAACTGAAGCTACTTCCTTTTTGATGACTCTAGATTGTGTCAAGTTGACAAAAAATCCCAGCCAGTACAGGTGGCTAGATAAAGGGATGTTGATTTGGGAGGAGTTGGGAGGGGGCAGGTGAATATGATGTAAACACATTGTACAAAATTTTATAGAACTAGCCGGGTGGTGGTGGCACCCACCTTTAATCCAAGCACTTGGGAGGCAGAGGCAGGTGAATCTCCATGAGTTCGAGGCCAGCCTGGTCTACAGAGCAAGTGCTAGGAGATGCTCCAAAGCTACACAGAGAAACCATGTCTTGAAAAACCAAAAACAATTTTATAGAACTATTGAAAAATTCAAAACAAAACATCCTTACTGCAGTGTCTAGTGAGTTTGAGGATTTCTAGCTGGTCATTGAAGAGATATGATCTTGAGATGCCAGTATTACACAATAGGCAGTGTTTATTCTAGTTTTAGACAAATGCCCTGTAGGGGTGAGCCCACAATACTGTCCACATCCAAAAGGGCGAGGACAGGGGGATGGGCACAGGTGAGATATTTAAAGAAAGAGAAAGGAAAACCTCTCTCTCTTGGAAGCCTGCCACGCTACTGATCTTCCAGCTTGTGTGTAAGTTCTTTCTCTAGTAAATAAATATATTATTTTCCATATTGCATTGACCTCCCTCATCAGCTGGTACCAGGAGTCCCTCATCAATGCCCCTGGTCTGTATACTCATCTATTTCCAGTATGTTTATAATTTAATTAAAAATTTTAACACTGGAGTACTTTAGGATAACAGAAATTGATTTGATTACATTGCACCTAGACAAATGTGTGCCTGTGATTTGCAGGGCTTTTGTTTTTCTTTTTTCCCTTGAGAGAGGGTCTCTACAAAGCTGTCCTGGAACTCACTATATAGACTAGGCTGGCCTCAAACTCACAGAGATCTGCCTGCCTGTGCTTCCTGAGTGCTGGGATTAAAGACCTGCTGGGCCTTCATGATCTTCTACTTAAACTATTTGTACATGTTTCTTCCATATACATACATTTCATTTATGTCTGTTTCATAACGTAGCAAGCTTAGTAATTGTTATTCAAGCATCTTTTCTGTAGACTGCACCAGGAACAAGCTAGTCAGCCCTACATTTCTTTCACCTACAATTGGACATATGTGAATTACAGAGTTCAAAAATAAAGTGAGGGCAAGGATGCAGCAGAGAGCACTTCACATTAGCAAATCCTATGTTTGAACTACAGCACTGAAGCCTCCCACCACACACACACCGCAACCTCGGCCTACTGTTCACTTCCCCCCCAGAATTAAGAGTCCCAGTGGTTAAGAGATCTCTTACAGAGGGTCCAAGTTTGGCAAATATTTATACATTAAGTACTGTTTGACTCAGACTATGGAGTTTGAGAGAGAATTAATGAGAGCAGTTGTATTAAACTTTCTAAATGCAATTTAGAAATCTATATCAAAGCAATTTAATTCCTAGGATTTGACTCTGGAAAATAAATATGGGCATGCATAAACAAAAAAAGCTAGGAGGATGACTCTCTGGCCTCAACATGAATATATACATGTACACAAGCATGTGCATGCACACACTCTTTTAAAAAAAGGTGGCCTAGAAAGGCAGACTCAAGTCTAATTCATCTGTTATGATAAGTATAAACCCCACTGAACTCCAGGTTTTACATAGCTTGGGTTGCCTTCTAATGCTAGAAACAGACTCAATGAATAATAGTATTAGTAAGAGGCCTACAAATAAAGTAATTCACAAACAAGACCTCTTGTTCTGCAGTAAATGTTGTTATATTGTTCTCATGAATCTCAATTTCATCTCTGATCTTGGAAAATCCACATTACTGGCACTAGTGTAATATTTGGAGCAAGTTACTCTGCCTCTGATTGAATTGGTGTTGTATGCTTCTTGTGAAAACAGTGTGTGTGTGTGTAATGATTTAAATCATTTTAATATTTGAAAAGATATCGATGAACTTTAATAACTTCTCACAGGTGTCACTGTGTACCCTGAATAGGAAATGTGTTCCAGTTTCAGTTATTTTAGGCTTATGTAATATGGTCTCAGGTAACCTTAGAATCACTTTACTTGATTCTTAGGGAAGAATGCCTACATATCCTAGGAATTGACTGAATATTTGCTCCTCTGTTTGCCAGTTTGAAAAGTCTGTTGAGCTTATATATATTAAGTGTTATGAATTCTGTACCTAGAGTTAATTATTAAAGGAATAAAATACAGCTTTAAAGATTTATTTTTCAAAAAGGTGGTATATTCACACTGAACAACTTTCCAAGGCTATGAGAGAATATACAGGTGTCTCCAGGTTTCATCTCCCTAGTAGTCACCTACTGTCCCTTTCCCTTCAGTAAGATAATGGTAATCAGATTTTCGTATTCATTTCCAGAAACAGCTTATACAGTCATTCTGTACTTACCATTTCCTCCTTTTTATATACAAATTGTAGCACATCATACTCACTGCACATTGCTTTTTCTATCTAATGAGGTAACTTGGAGACTATCCTAAATCACTACAGAAATGATATCCATGTGTTTTTTGTTCATTCTTTGTCTCTTGAGTTTGATGTACGAATATGTCACAGTTTCAGGAAGCAGAATCCAGGTGATACCATTTCGACAGCTTCTAATCTTTTGTTTTCAAACACTGCATGTTTTGATCATTTTGTACACATGTGAGAATATGTATCCTTAGAAGTGGAAATGGACTTGTGATTTTGATTAGTTTTAAATGCCTTCCTTTGAATGAGAAGAGTTGCTCCCGTGCTTGCTGTTTGCAAGAGGTTTTGTGGGGGAAGATGCCAGGGCCACATTCTAGACAGATGACTTTTTCAAACAACCGAGAAACCCCTTAGCTTACATTAGTTCTTTCTTTCAGACCTTTCTTTCCCCAAATCAGTAGACAAGACCAACTCTATCCATTTATGTTTCCCAGCTTCCCCACCACCAGCTGTTCCTTAAACCTGTCAGATGACTGTTTGTAAATCTAAGGTCTGTCTGCATGTTTCTCCTCAGGCCTCACAGTCTTTGTCACAGTGTCTCTGCTCATGTACCTTAAAGCATAACTCAAACCTCAGTTGAGAGTCCTTAGCTATGCTGCCTCCCTTTTGAAGCCCTGAAATCTCCTGCACTTGTGTATAATTGCCTTTTAGTTTGACAGCCCTGTGATTGCACTGGTTTCCAAAGAAGTTATGCATCTGTTTCTTTTTCAACCTGCATTAGGGTGAAAACAGATGAAAAGAAATTTGTTTAAACGCTAAATCAACACATCTTTCCTTTGGGTATATGAAAGATACTATTGCTTTGTCCCACATTGTGTAGTGAGCTTTGACTTGTGGGTGTGGCCTCTCCCATGGGCTTTCTTCCCTGCATGGGTCCTCTGATGTACAATAAGGTTGGATTTCTGGGTAAAGGCTTTCCCACATTCTGCACACTTATAAGGCTTCTCTCCAGTGTGAGTTCTCTGATGTACAGTGAATGTGGATTTTTCCCTGAATGCTTTGCCACATTCTGTGCACTCATAGGGCTTTTCTCCTGTGTGTGTTCTCTGATGGATGATGAGCTGCGACTTCTGGCTAAAAGCTTTCCAGCACACAAGGCATTCATAGGGTTTCTCTCCTGTGTGGATCCTCTGATGGATAATGAGTTTTGACTTTTCTCGGAATGCTTTTCCACACTCACTACATTTATAGGGTTTTTCTTCTGTATGAGTTCTTTGATGTATAATGAGATAGGACTTCTGAGAAAATGCCTTTTCACATTCATTACATTCATAGGGCTTCTCTCCAGTGTGGCCTCGCTGATGTAGCATGAGATAGGATTTCTGAGAGAAGGCTTTCTCACATTCATTACACTCAAATGGTTTTTCTCCTGAATGAGTTCTTTGATGCACACCTAGATTTGACTTTTGTGTGAAAGTTTTCCCACATACATCACATTCATAGGGCTTCTCACCAGTGTGAGTTCTTTGGTGCACAATAAGGGTTGATTTCTCATTGAAAGACTTCCCACATTCAGTACATTTATGAGGTTTCTCTCCAGTGTGAGTTCTCTGATGTATAATGAGGGTTGACTTATCACTGAATGTTTTCTTACACTCATTACATTCATGAGGCTTCTTTCCTGTGTGAGTACTATGGTGTATAATTAGGTCAACTTTTTCTATGAAAGATTCCCCACACTTGGTACACTCATAGGTTTTCTCTCCTGTGTGAGTTTTTTGATGAACAATGAGGTTTGACTTCTGAGTGAAGGCTTTCCCACATTCATTACATTCATAAGGTTTCTCTCCTGTATGAGTTCTATAATGTATGATAACAGTTGACTTTTCTCGGAAGGCTTTCCCACATTCTGGACATGCAAAGGGTCTTTCTCCAGTATGGGTTCTGAGGTGTATAATGAGCTGAGACTTTTGGCTAAAAGCTTTCCCACATTCAGTACATTCAAATGGTTTCTCTCCTGTATGAGTTCTCCAATGTACAATGAGGTGTGACTTTTTGCTGAAGGTTTTCTGACATGCAGTACATTCAAAAGGCTTCTCTCCATTTTTAATTCTCTGATGAAGGCTAAGACCTTTCTTTTGCCTGAGACTTTTTTCATATTCTTTGTATCCACAAGGTTTCACTATGAAATTAGGTTTTTCATATTCTGTATGGAATAATTTTGCACACCCAGTATCATGTTTGTTTTCTGGAGAGCTTCTATTAAATAGGCTTACATTGTCCACCATATTATTTCCAAATGATTCAAATTTATGTGATCTTTGCATTGGAACAACAAGGCTTGTGCTCAGATGAAATGTGTTTCCAAATTCAATATAGTTCTGGTCATTCTTGGTAATTACTTTGTCATTAGGGAATCCAACTTGCATCGACAGATACTTATCTTGATTATCCTGATGTTGCCTCTCAAATTGTCCATTAATGTGGCAGACTTCTAGAAAAAAGCACAATAAATCATGTGTATACTTGTCATTATGGTGAATAGACCTTTTTCAGAAATGCCATGACTTCAACTGTTACTGCTGTACTGATACTGACCACCTGAGATGCAGATCTAGCAGAACTTAGATTGGGTTTGGCTCCTTCTAAGTGTAACTTGTAAGAGCTTTACCTGTGATTCAGATGAAACTATCATATCATTTTATCAGAGTGACAGGGGAGAGAGAGGATCTTATCATAAACTCTCATGTACTGCCTTTTTATGACGAAGAAAAACTTCTCATAACATTTCAGATTCTTAGCTCTCCTATTATTTCATCTCTCACCCTCAATTCTTAGTTACATGAACTTTTCTTTGAGATAGGGTCTCCCCATGCAGACCTGGGGCCCCTGAACTCACCTTGAACTCATAGATATCCACCTGCCTCAGCCTCCTAAGTGCTGGTGTTAAAGGTACGCACCAACACACCTGGCATAGTTGTATGAACTTCTGACTACTCCTGACATATACTGCCTACATCTAGGGAAAAATGTAGCATTGTACTTCCTAAATTCAGTACTAATAATCCTGGATCCATGTGACATAAAATCTAGATTAGTGAGCTCAACAAAACTAGAATTTTCTCAATTGGGGTTCACAAGTATATCTCCCTCAATGCATATAATTTTTCAACACCACTGTCTCAGCTACTGTCTACTCTACTTCACCTAAAAACTTTGCTTATTTTAATATATGACTTGTGATGCTTAGGTATCTATATTATCTTCCTGCCTTCTATATTTTACTATATTCAGAATCTAGATAACTTTCAAGAGGTAGTTTTGTTATTTTACAAAAGCTTACTGACATTTCTATATAATTTGAGTTTTGATTAACACCTAATATACTTAATAATCTGGACCACTCATTTAGACAGTTAAATTGCAAATCTGTGCCTTTAATTTCATAATCTATAAAATATTTCACATTTAACATCTCTGAATCTAAATGTACCTTAAAATCAATGCTGTCCACATGCTATAACTTAGTGGCAATATTTCTTTCTTAGTGGCATGTCTTAAAACCAGTGGTATCCTGAATCCAACAAAATATAGCACACATTTTTGCAGATATATATATATATGTATATATATATGAGTTATGGTTTGCAGTTTACTTAACTTTTTAGACTTATTTATTTTATATGTATAAGTGTTTTGCCTACATGTATGTGTACCAGGTATTCCTGGTGCTCACATAGGTCAGAAGAAGTACTCAGATTCCTTGGAACTGGAATTATGGATGGTTGTGAATGCCAGGAACTGAACCCAGGCCCTGTGAAAGAATAACACAAGTGCTCTTAAGTACTGAGCTTCATCTCCAGCCTCTGTAATTTCAAAGATTGTATATGAAAATCTTCAAGCATGGAGAAAAGTTGAAACAGGTAGAGTACAACTACTAGTCAAGTTTATACTTAGATTCTATAGTACAGTAGCAAAAAAGTACATGTTCTTAGCAAGTGATGGACATTGAATCACAGGAAGGGGTCTTATGAGTTTCATTTAGAGGTAGTCAAACCAGAACCTCCTTAGGTGGTCATAAGTAGTATGACCCCTGTGGTTTAGGTCATGTGGTTTAGGTCTAGATCAGGAACAAATCCTGACTCAGCTTTTCATGTGATATAATCTATTTGTATAATTTTCCCACCTAAAAACAGTGCTCACCAAAATGGATATTCAGGGGAATTCAAATACATAACAATACAGCTTCTATAGTACAAATGAAATACTTAAAATGTTTACTAAACCAAACCCTTACTGTTATTATGAGTTATGTAGAGCCACACTATATTACTATAAAAGAAATAATGAGTTTATATAAGATACAATCTGATGTATTCTCAAGTACTAAGTCAGAAGGGGCAAATTAAACTGTGCATAGGGGCAAAGTGTGATGATGCACATCTTTAATCTCAGTACCTGGGAGATTTCTGTGAGTTCAAAGCCAGCCTGGTCTACATAGTGAATCCCAGGTCAGTCAGGGTGTAACAGTGAGACCCTGTCTCAAAAAACACACCAAATGAAACAAAACACCCTGTATATAGTAGAGTATGGTTTTAGGTCAATAGGTCAATGTTTAGGTATATTCATACAGGGTCACTGTTGTAAGGAAACAATGGGAAGATAAACTAAATTCCATGAGTAGGGAAGAGAGGGAAAGAAGCTGAATTGTTCCTCTTTAAAATACATTTATTTATTTTGTATGTTGGGGGGCACACACACCACACCACATATGTGGTGGCCCAAGGAAAACTTGCAGAAGTCAGTTCTTGCCCTCTACCCTGTGGGTCTTGGGAACTGAATCGAGGACATCAGACTTGGCACCAAACATTTTATCCACTGAACCATTTCCCTAGCCCCAAGCTGTTCTTAATAATATTGTTTTCTAGATTTCACTTCAGAACCATGTAAACAGTAACATTATATAACCATCAGCAAATCTGAATAATGGTAGATACCTTGTCATTTCTCTTTCCTAGTGAGAAGTTTCGGTTCTCAGAGGCACTAACGTCATTACTTCAATCAGCTCAATGTACTATACATGCATAATAGATGAAAAATTAATCGAAAATAATTAGGGCTTGTGAGATTATTTAGCAGGCAAAGATATTTGTGACCTTAGTTTAATTCTGGGAACCCACATAATGTAACAAGGGAAATCACTCTTGCAAAATTTCTTCTGACCTTCACACCAATCCTATGACATGTATGTGTGCCTAAGAATGCACTTGTGTACATAGCATACACACAAAAATGTAATAAAAATTAAAAACCTAGAATTTGATCTAGAAGTATCAATTTTAAGACATGATGATTTTGTTTTCTTTAAAGAATTTTATGCACAGTCGCTAACCTTTATGAATGAAAATGTCTAAAAGAGATTTCATTAAGATTCAAGTTGTGGCACCTTTTGCAATAGTCTCAAATAATATAAAACATTTAGGGTACTCTAACCAAGCAAGTGAAAGACTTGTATGATTAAAAAAAATTAAGAAATTGAAGATAGCCAGGTGGTGGTGGCACACACCTTTAGTCCCAGCACTTGGGAGACATAGGCAGGCGGATTCTCTGTGAGTTTGAAGCCAGCCTGGTTTACAAAGCTGCACAGAAAATCCCTGTCTCAAAAAAAAAAAAAAACAAAAAAAAAAGAAAGAAAGAAATTGAAGATATCAGAAGATGGAAAGATCTCCAATGCTCATGGACATTAGGATTGGTATAGTAACATGGTCATCCTACCAAAAATCAATCTACAAAACAATTCTTCTCAGATCTTGAGAACATAATCATCAGATTCATACAGAAACACACACCCAGGACAAGTGTGTGGCAGGGAGGGAGCACACCTTTACAGGCAATCTCTGTGGGTCTGAGGCCAGACTGATCTACAAAGAGAATTCCAGGGCTGTTACATAGAGAACTGCCTGCCTCCTCACAGTGAATGCCCATGCTCCGAAAAGGAAGTAGCACACATTTTTTTGGAGGCCACAGAAGCTCTTTTTTTTTCTTTTAGCACTGTGACACTTTTCTGCCTGATTTCTGGTTTTGGAGTACCCTCCTTGGGATGAAATGAGTCTGACGACACCCACAAAATACTCTGTTCAGGGCACAGGGAGATGCCTCATAGCATTCCGGTTATTTTTGGTTAGTTTGGCTAGAGTCACGAGTTGTTTTCTGACCTGCCTTGAATTTCATGCCCCAATGATAGTGGGATGGAATCAAACTCGGGGTGGCCCAGCACCTTGGTGCTATCAGTAGGGTTCTAAAGCCTAGGCTGCAGAAGAAAGCCTTACAGGACATTGGGGACCAAACTTATAGAGTTTTGAAAGGCCCAATGTGGGGACATCAGTTAGTCCACAGGTTGTGCAAAGAGGCAACTAAAACAGCCTGCCATCTTTTAAATTCTCTTGGTCAGACTGGTAAAACTTCTGTGCGACACCAATTGTTATTGTTGTCTTTGTTGCTTATGTCTTGTCTTATCAGTCTGTCCTGTCTTTGTGTATTATGCCTTGGGATGGGTGATATGGAGCTTGGTGGCCAACTTTAAGGGTTTCCACTAACCAAAGGGGGGATAGTTTGACTCATAAGAATACCAAGGCAACTCCTTATAGCAAAATGTTTGTTCTGTCACAATGAGTCATAACTGTAATGTAAGTACTGTTGAAGCTGAGGCAGGAGATTATAAGTCTGAAGCTAGCCTGGATAAAACATTGAGAACCTGCCACAAAAAAGGACTTAAGAATGCTTACATCTGGGAAGCTATACATGCATATATCCACAGAAAAGGATATAATTTAACACAGCTACACAATTCTTGGGTATTTACCCAAAGAACTCAAAATCATCATATCACACATATCACAGAGATCTGTGGAATATTTATAAATACTATGTGACTACATGTCGTTGTGATTGGTTTAATAAAGAAGCTGACTGACCTATAGCTGGGCAGGATAAAGTTAGGTTGGGGCACCAGACTAAGAGAATGTTGGGAAGAAGTAGACGAAGGGAGGAGTCTTGGGAGTCACAAGGAGACGCAGAGGAAGCAGGGAGATGAACTTGCCATACTGAGAGAAGGCACTGAGCCATGTGGCAGGGCATAGATAAGAAATATGGGTTAATTTAAGTTAGAATAGACAGGTATTGAAAACTGAGCTATCAGCTGAGCATATACAATTAATAATAAGTCTCTGGGTGGTTATTTGGAAACTGGTTGGTGGTACATACAGAGATCCTTGTACATCAAAGTCTACTGTAGCACTACTCACAAGTTAAATTAAATTTTAATTTAAATTAATAGTTTAAGGAAAACCTACCTTGTCCAATAGAGAAGTAGGTAAAGAGTATATATGGATAATAGATTTTTTTCAGTTAGAAATAATGGAATCATGCCATTTGCAGGAAAAGGCATGTAACTAGAGATAATCATAATAAGTGAGTTAAGCCAGTCTGCAAAAATGCAAGCATCTGCTCTCATTCGTGGTTCATAGATTTTTATGCATTACATAAAAACATATACATAACCATCTAGGGGAACAAGAAAGACTAGTGGGAGGTCAAAAGGGCAGAAAAGGGAAAGTGGAGCAGTTTGAAGGTTTGCTGGCTGGTTTTATATCAACTTGACACAAGCTATAGTCATCTGAGAAGTGAGAACCTTGATTGAGAAAATGGCTTCTTTAGAACAGGCTGCAGGCAAGCCCATTTTAAATTAAGTGAAATTAATTTTAATTAATGATTGATATCAGAGGGCTCTGCCCATTGTGGTGGTGTTATCTCTGGGCAGGTGATCCTGGGTTCTGTAAGAAATCAGGCTAAGCAAGCCACAGGGAGTGAGCCAGGATATAGTACCCCTCTAAGGCCTGTGCTTCAGTTCCTGCCTCTAGGTTCCTGCCCTATTTGAATTCATTACCTGACTTCCTTCAGCGATGAAAACTGATATGTATGTATAAACCAAATAAACCTTTTTCTCCTCAATTTGCTTTTGGTCATGGAGTTTCATCACAGCAATAGTAACTCTTAGTCAGAAGGGAAATATGCTTAACATACAATATAAGCTTGTATGAAAATTTTAATTAAAAAGATATAACTCATTGATCACCTACAGATGTTGCTAAAAATCATTTAAAAATGCCAGCCCAGACTACTGTACCCAGCAAAGCTTTCAATTACTATAGATGGAGAAAACAAGATATTCCATGACCAAACCAGATTTAAACAATTTATATGCACAAATCCAGCCCTACAGAAAGTACTGGAAGGAAAACTCCAACCCAATGAAGATAACTACACTCACAAAAATATAGGCAATAGATAATCCCATTTTACCAAACACCAAAAAGAAAAAAGAGGGAGAAACCCACACATAATACCATCACCAACAACAAATCCAAAACAAACAAAAGTCAACAATCAGTGGTCATTAATATCCCTCAATGTCAATGGTCTTAAGTTGCCTATAAAAAGACACAGGATAACAGAGTGGATACGAAGACAGAATTCATCCTTCTGCTGCATATAAGAAACACATTTCAACGTCAAAGACAGACATAACCTCAGAGTAAAGGGTTGGGAAAAGATTTTACAATCAAATGGACCCAAGAAACAAGGTGGTATAGCAATCCTAATATCTAATAAATTTTTAAAATTAAAATCAATCAAAAGAGATGAAGAAGGTTATTTCATATTCATCACAGGAAAAGTCCATCAAGATGAAGTCTCAATCCTGAACATCTATGCTACAAATACAAAGGAATCCACATTTATAAAAGAAACATTGTTAAAGCTCAAATCACACATAAAACCTCACACTAATAGTAGGAGACTTCAACACTCTGCTTTTACCATTAGACAGGACCACCAGACAGAAAATTAACAAAGAAACAAAAGAAATAACAGAAGTTATGACCCAATTGGGATTAACAGACCTCTATAGAACATTCCATCCAAACACAAAAGAACATACCTTCTTCTCAGCTCCACATGGAACCTTCTCTAAAATAGACCACATACTCGGCAACATAGAAAATCTCCAGATACAAAAAAATTGGAATAATCTCCTGCATCTTATCAGATCACCATGCTTTAAAGTTAGAATTCAACAACAACACAAATCATAGAAACCCTACAAACTCATGGAAATTGAACAATGCACAATTGCACCATCCCTGCGTCAAGGAAGAAATAAAAAAAGGAACCGAAGACTTCCTGGAAATTAATGAGAATGAAGACGCAACATACCCAAACTTATGGGACACTTTGAAAGCAAGAAAGGAGATGTCCTGATATAGGGAGCCAGTACAGGTTTGGAGAGAGTTCTGGCACAGAGGAAATGGTAGGGGATCCACAGGGTAGATCCCAACTAAGGAATCTAGGCATTGGTGGAGAGGCTGCCTTTGATGCCCTTCCCCTATGAGATTGATGACTACCTTGGTTACCATTCCTAGAGCCTGGACCAAGTAGCTGATGGATGCAGAGACAAGCACCCACAGCTGAGCACTGAGCCATTCTCCAGGAATCCAGTTGTGGAGAGGGAGATGAGATAAGCAAATGAACCAAGACGGAATTGGAGATACCTGCAGAAACGGTTGACCTGACCTAGTGAGAGCACACAGACCCTAGTCCTAAATTGTTCTGAACCAGGCCCTCTGAATGTGGGTACCAGCTAGGAGGTCAAGGCAGTCTATGGAACCTCTAACAGTGGAGCCAGTGTTTATTCCTAGGTCACAAATGGACTTTGGGAGCCCATTCCCTATGGAGGGATACTATTGCAGCCCAGATACCGAAAGGAGGGCCTGGGACCTCCCCCAAATGAAGTGATGAACTTGATGATCCCCTTGGATGGTCTCATTATACCTGGAGAGTTGGTGGGGGGTGGGATGGGGGAGTTGGTGGGAAGCATGGGAGCATGTGAAGGTGAGGGAATGGGGGGATGGATATGCAAATAAGAGTGTCTCTACAATAAAAATATTTAAAAAATTGTTATTTTTTTGCCAGGTGGTGATGGTGCATGCCTTTAATCCCAGCACTTGGGTGCCAGAGGCAGGCAAATGTTTGAGTTCAAGCCCACCCTTGTCTACAGAGAGACAGAGAATTCCAGAATGGCCAGGGCTACACAGAGAAACCCTGTCTTAGGAAAATATTATTGTTTTAAAATGTATTTATCTTTATGTTCATGTGTCAGTGTGTCAGTATGTGCACATGACTGTGGGTTACCATAGGGGCATAAAGAGGGTTTTGGGTCCCCTGGAGCTGAATTTTAGGTGTTGGTGAATTATTGACATGGGTGCTAAGAACCAAACTCAAGTCTTTTGGAAGAGTAGAACGAGGTGTTAACTGCTGAGCCATCTCTTCAGCCCCACAAAAATTATTTTGAATAATGATAATCAAAACTTCAATCACCTTTTCTCTTTTCTGTAGAATATGTAACTGGTAGTAACCAAATAATAATTGAGAGAGAATTTCTCCATCTTTTTGAGACAAGGTCTCATAATACAGACTAGGCTGGCCCTGTCTGTGCCTCCCGAGTCCTGGGATTAAAGGCCTGTGCCACCATGCTAGACCTTGACAATTTGTTTTCATAGAAGTATTCTAGCTAAATAATAAATAAGAGAATTAAAATCTCATCATTGAATCATGGGAGCCCTACCAATGGCCATATCCTTAAAGAAGAGTAAATCTCCCTCTTCCATCCAATAGTTCTCTGGTATGGAGTGAGGTTGGCGATCACCTACCCTCTATTTATGCTGGTATGGAGTGAGGCTGGCGATCACCTACCCTCTATTTATGCTGGTATGGAGTGAGGCTGGCGATCACCTACCCTCTATTTATGCTGGTATGGAGTGAGGCTGGCGATCACCTACCCTCTATTTATGCTGCAATTTGGGTGGCTTGATCTTGTGCAGGTAACCACAACTGAGTTTCCTTACATCCATGAACATATGGACAGCAGAAACTGGACATATTTGTAAGAAAAAAAAGATATAAAGTTGGGAGGAAGATCTGTTTAGAGTTCTATGGGGGGGAATAGGAGTTGAGAAATGGTGGGATAAGTGTAATCATATTTCATTGTATGAATGTATGAGATTCTCAAGAATAAAAAAATTAAAAATTCTGCAGGCAAATGGATGGCACTAGAAGAAACCATCCTGAGTGAGGTAACCCAGTCACAAAAAGAGAAACATGGCATGTACTCTCTCATATATGGATTTTAGACATAGATCTGGGGAGTGCCAGACTACAATCCCATGGGCAGAGAGTCTGGGGAACAGAACCTTTATCCTGTGGCTGATGGAAGCAGAGGCAGACTCCCACGGCTAAGCACTGAGCTGAACTCAAGGAACCCAGTGACAGAGAGGGAGGACTGATGACCAAAGGTGTTAAGACTGGGCTGGTTTAACCCCCAGAAACAGCTGACCTGACAATGGTTAGCTCTTGAATCCCAGGCTGATGCCTGGAAATCCAGCATGGGACTGATCAAGACCCCCTGAATGTGGGAGTCAGTGAGGAGGCTTAGGTAATCTATTGTGCCTTGGGCAGTAGATCAGTATTTATCCCTGGCATACAAATGGACTTCGGGTGCCCATCCAACAATGTGAGATGCACTCTCACCCTGGACTCTTGGGGGAGGGTCTAGGCCCTGCCTTGGATGAAATGACAGACTATGGACACCCCATGGAGGCCCTCACCCTCTCTGGGGAGTGGGGGGGTTGGTAGTGGACATGGGAGGAGAGGAGGGAAAAGGAGAGGGACCTGGGATTGACATGTGAAGCAACCTTGCTTCTAATTTAAATTTAAAAATAAAAATAAATTCACCATTTTTCAGCTCTTACTGAATTAACTGGCCTAATCAGCAATTATCAGTAACTAATAGCATAAACCAAAGACAACTGTGCATGACAAACTTCCTGCTGGAAATACTGAGGAAGGAAAAAGAGAAGAAAGCAAACTCTGAATCTGATCTAGCTTACAAGAAAAACAGGACAGAGGGCTGCACTAAGATACTACCTGGAAAGTTCCAAACCGAAATTTCCCCATCTGGCTCTGGTTCTTCTACCTCCAGCTGGATAATGAGATCTGGTTTAGTAACCTGCTGTTCTAAGGATGATAAATGATAGATACCTCCTTGGTCTTCAGAGCCTGAAACAGAAGAATTTGCAGTCTGTGGTCAGCACAAGGGACCTATCACTTGATACAAACAATTTAACCAATATTTTGTATTTCACTTAAGGAAAGAAAAATATGAAATCAAGCAAGCAAAGGTCCCCCCACTGAATATAATAACCATCAAACAATTACTTGAAGATGCCATCTTACCCACAGAGACAAGGTTGCTGTAGTTTTCAAGCATCACATCTCTGTACAGGGTCCTCTGTGGAGGGCTCAGGTATTGCCACTCCTCCTGGGTGAAATCCACAGCTACATCCTTAAATGTCACTAGTTCCTATAACAGGAAGTTTCTTTTATTCTAAAACGCTGAACACTTAGTGATAATAATATGAGGAAAATTCTAATTGAGCTTCCAGTTCATCAAGATGTCTTCTTCACAGCACACTAATAGCCTACTTTGATGGAGAATCACAAATCATGAGAAAACTATTGTATTAGGTGATTAAATATTTAAAATGATATCTTATCATACCATAAGGATAGGTATCTAGGAGAACAATAGAATCCAAGTGTGTACAGGGGCTGGAGAGATGGCTCAGTGGTTAAGAGTGCTTGCTGTTGTTCCAGAAGAAGTAAGTTTGCTTCTTAGCACCTACATCAAGCAGCTCACAACAGCCTATGTATGCCCTCTTGTGGCACCCATGGGTACCTGCATATACATGGCACACAAAGACATACTCATAAATTAAAAATAAATCCTTTCAAAACAGAATTTATATATGTATAGTCAGGTGGCTTATGACAAAAGTTGGTGCATTAAGCAGTAAGAAGGAGCTCTTCAATAAACAAGAGTGTATTGTTGGATACATATGTGGGAAAAACAAGACTGAACCTCCTTTGCCTTCAGTTACAGGGAAACCTTAAGTGTAATGTGAGAAGTAACAATGAGGTGCCTATAAAATGCCTGAAGGCTGCCCAGTTCCATTAATCTGTACATCTGTAACCACCCCATCTCCAATCAGCTTTTGATTTTGATAAAAAAGCAGAGTACCCTGATTGCTCTGTGATCCAGCTAGTCAAAAGTTCTTCCCCGTAGGACTGAACCCAAGCTGAGGCCCTCAACATTACCAGATATTGATACATATAGTTATATTATTGTCTCAAACTCTGCAAGAATTTTACCTCAAATCCCTTAAGCCCACATATAAGCCCTGCACAACGACCTACTCAATGCAAATACATATTGGTTGTCCCTTTATCTCACTACCCATTGTGAGGAGTTTCCTTAATAAACTTTTGGGGGCAGATAACCTGCTTATCTAATACCTCGTTAGTGCTCTGATTGGCCTTATCTCCAAACACATTGGGGAGCTTCCTTGTGGGAATTCCCTTGCCCAACTTTAGCTGGGTTTCAGCAAGTCAAAACAATAACACAGGAAATTTTTTAAAAAACAAAATTTGCCAGAGGCCAAATTGTGAGACGTGAAAAAACACTCTTCATAAAGAAAAAGATGTGCAAATGTTATAAGACTTAAGTATAACAGTGAAAAGGCAAGCCATATTCAAGTAATTGAAAATTTAAGCCACACTGAGGCATCATTGAGTCTCCCACAAAAGTTATAATTATGCCAATTAATATACCATAATATATGTGTGCTGGTTAGGCTTTGCCTAGAGAGAGGAATCTCAACTGAGTAATTACCTCCATTAGGTTTGGCCTACTGGCATATCTGTGATACATTTTCTTTTTTTCTTTTTTTTTCTTTTTTTGGTTTTACGAGACAGGGTTTCTCTGTATTGTTTTTGAGGCTGTCGGTTCAGCCTGGCCTCGAACTCACAGAGATCCACCTGCCTCTGCCTCCCGAGTGCTGGGATTAAAGGCGTGCGCCACCACCGCCTGGCGATACATTTTCTTAATTGCTAATTGATGGGTGATGGCCCAGTCCACTATGGCAGCAACATCCCTAGGCAGGTAGCCCTGAGTGTATGATAAAAGTAGCCAAGCAAGGTAGAAATAGCAAGCCCATAAGGAGCATTCTTCCATAGTCTGTGCTTCAGTTCCTCCCTCTAGCTTCCTGAAAATTATTCCAACAGGTGATTATAAAATAACTGCAACATAAAAGTACCCCTCAAAAAGATGTCACTGACCTAAACGTAGTATTTAAACCCATAGTATTTGTAGGGGAAAAGATGGGATAAAATCCATTAAATCCTGATAAACCAAGTAACACAAAATTTTCAGAGAAGCCCCAGAATAGAAGTAAATATTACACAGATCAGCTATCTGATAGCATAAAAATACTACTATACTATTGAGAGTATAAAACACAAATAAGATATAAGAACTATCTACGAATATAAAAACTACTATTAAAACAAAAAAGTAGAGTATTTCACCAAACAAGACATATAAATGACAAATAAATAATAAAAAGTTGTTCAACATCATTAGTCATCAGGTATCTGAAAATTAAAACCGCAATGAATGAGATGCCACCACATACCTGTTAGAATAGGAGACCTCACAATCAAGAAGTATAGATATGGAAAAACTGGATCTCTGTTTTCACAGACATGAAGGTAGAAATAGCACAGGCTTTTGGCAACAGTTTCCCAAGTGTTTGTGCAGTTAAGAATATACTATCGATCAATCCAATAATAATGTTTCTAGGTGTATTTACCCCCAGAGAAATGGAAGTCACATAGCTTCCAAAAGCTTGGAAATGAACACTTACTTTTTTATCACCCAAACATGAAACAACCTAAGCACTTTTCAGTCAGAAAATGAACAAACTTGAATCCATGTGATGGCATGCTATTCAATAACAAAAATGCATGAATTAATGACACAGATGATAATAAATAAAATAAAATAATAAATAATAATAAATAAACAAAAGAAGCCAGGCTCAAGCAGCTATCTGTTCCATGGTTCCACCAATGTAACTAATGGGAAAGTTAAAAACTGTGGAGACAAGAAATATAACAGTGGTTAGAAGAGCAGGTGCATCAGGGGCTGACTACAAAGGTAATTACAGAACTCTTGCCTCCATTGTGGTGGTGGTTATACAGCTATGGGTTAACACAACTATACACTCAAAGGATCTATTTTATTGCATGTAAATTATATATCAGCTTCTCAAAATTAAAAACAAGAAGCTTTCGAGTAGTCTAGAATAAAAACATTTGTATAAATCCAAACCTTTCCATATAGGGGCTTAAGAGATGTAGCTCTGTAGCAGAGCACTTGTCTAGCATGTAGAAAGGCTTGAGTTGAATCTTCAGCATTTAGAAAAAAAACTTACCAAAAATCCCTCAAATATGTCCATAAACTTCCCAATAAGCTTTGCTGCTTATCATAACATAACACATAGTAGCATTCATAACCAATACTTTCAGTATAATGTATAATACAAATTAGAGACTACTACAAAATGCTCCAATTACCTATAAGCCCCAAACTAACAAGCAAACAAACAAACAAAAAAAACCCCAAACATACACGTCAGTTGTCTTTCAAACTCTTGCCATGAACTATTCAGGAACACAAGAAGGGTCTGAAAAGCCAGAGCAGAGTGAGTAAATGAAGCTGAGATTATGTTTAGAAAGATGCCCAATGCCTTGCCATCTATGTGTATGAAAGTATCAAAAACCCCTGATGTGCTATAGCAAAGGACTGCTAGCTGTAGGAAAACTGTCCATGACCTAAGGTAACAATCATGAAAAGCATTACTTCTGAAGGAGACAACGCAAACAAAGGAATAAAGAAACATTTGATGATTTGGTAGTGGCAGGCAAAACACAGAAGGGAAATTAGGGTCATGCATGCTATAGTTCAAATATGAAATGTATCCCACAATGCTTTGAACTTTTGCTCCTTAGCTGGGAGCACTGTTTGGGAGGTTATGGAGTCTTTAGGAGGTGGTACTCAGGGAAAGTAGGTTACTAGAAGGTAGGGCTCTAAGGTTCTAGTTCTGGTTTTGACCCGTGTCCTCTGCTTCCTGCTCTTGATGCCTCCACCATACACCCAGACTGCAATCAACTCCACTGTGGACTGAGACACTCTGAAATGATGATCCACAATAAAACCTTATCTATTTACTGATTTTGCCAGGTATTTTGTCACAGCAACAGGAAAAACAATGAATACAATGCTAGACAAAGAATGGGATAAAACAAAATCAAGTTAGATTATGTAAAATCCCTTTTAGCAGTGCCCAAAGCAAAAGTCATATATTGAAGTTGCTTCATTGTACTTCACTGCCAGATCGTGAACTAAACATCACGGAGGTCACTTGAACCCCAGGATGTCCAAACAACAAATTGATCAAACTTTGTTAAAAACAATGGAAAATATGATGACATTTTGTGACTGAGCTGGGTTTATAGCTCAGTAGTACAAACCCAAGATCAATTCCCAACACTGAAACCATTTGAGGTGACAAAAAATTCAACCCACAATGATGACATCAAAACATCAAAGAAGATAACTCTGAGTTCCATCCCAGGACCCACTTAAGTGGTGGAAGAAGAGTTTTCCTCTTACTTCCATGCCTGGACACACACACACACACACACACACACACAGAATGAATAAAAATTAAAATAAATAAATAAATAATAAGTGCATTAAAAATTAAAAATAAGAAAGAGACCAAATCAAATGTAACTCTGGGAAAACAGTCACAGATTTGCAGCAACCACACAAAGATAGAACCAAGAAAAAAGCAACACAAAGAATACAGGAAAGCCTTACAGCATAGTTGATTACCTTTGCCCTTGCTCTACCCCTACTGATGATCAATAGTAGTAGCTTGTGCTTACCTAGTCCTGGGTGTAGAGGGAGTAGAGAAGACTTTATTAATATATGAATATGTCCATTCCTAACCTGTTTAGGGGCTACTAAAAGAACTGGTGCCGGGTGGTTGTATTCTGTTTTATCTAACTTTGATTCAGAGTAGAAAAGCAGTGGGCAATGTTCTAAAAAGACTACAGGGTAGGGCAGGGAGATAGCACAGTGGGTAAGGTGCTTGAAACCCTAAAATCCAAGTGAAAAAGTAGTGTGTGTCTGAAATCCCAAGGTTTCTAAGATGGGAGACAGAGGGAGAAGAATCCCTGGAAGCTTGTGTGCCAGTTATACTAGAATATACAGCAATGAACAATGAAAGAAAGACCCTGTCTCCATTGGTGGTGCCCGCCTTTAATCCCAGCACTCAGGAGGCAGAGGCAGGCAGATCTCTGTGAGTTTGAGGCCAGCCTGGTCTACAGAGCGAGTTCCAGGACAGCCTCCAAAACAATACAGAGAAACCCTGTCTCAAAAAACCAAAAAGAAAA